TCCCTCAGGCTACATGGGAAACAGCTAGGGGAGGGCACAGCCCTTGGCAAGGCAACCCAGGACTCAGTACTTCCACGCTCCGCTCCCAGAGCGGGTTCCTGCCTGAAACTTCAACCTCCAGGAAACAACTGGGGGAGGGCGCAGCTGTTTCCAAGATGACCCCTGCAGGGCTGACTTCCTTCCGGTTGGTTGAGCTTCGGGACATGATGTTACACCCAGGGTTTTTATATAAGTAGATTTTTTAAGCATATGTTTTTATTGATTTTTATAGAGAGAGAAGGGAGAGGGAGAAACATAAATGATGAGAGAGAATCATTGATTAACTACCCCTGCATGCCCTCTACTGGGGATCGAGCCTGCAACCTGGCATGTGCCCCAACCAGGAATTGAACCAAAAACCTCTTGTTTCCTGGTTCGACACTCAACTGCTGAGCCACACCAGCCAGGCTCATGTGTATCCTTTTAGAGAGCATCTATATCATATATACACTTCTTTATTAAACACAAATGATAGCATATTATTACACTGTTCTATACCAGGCTTTTTCCTCCTAAAATAATGAAGAATTTTCCACATTAGTATATAAGAGCTGCCATATTCTTTTAATGGCTTTATTATATTGATGTACCATAATTTATTTAATCAGTTTTCTACTGATTGATATTTAGACTGATTCCATTCTTTTGCCATTAGTAACAATTCTACAATTATTATCTTTATAAATTACTAAGTTCAGTGCATATACATTGAAAATGTTAATGGCTTTGCCAAACTGCTCTTACAAGTTATACAGCAGCCTGGCTGTTATGCTCAGTGGTTGAGCACTGACACATGAACCTGGATGTCACGGTTCACAGTTTCATCCCCAGTAGGGGGTATGCAGGAGGCAGCATGTTGATTCTCTCTTATCATTGATCTTTCCCTCTCTACCTCTTCTTTAATCTCTATGAAATACATACATATTTTTTAAAAAGTTATACACCATTGTGTGTTTGTTTACTTCCCTGCAACCTTACCAGATTAGAATATTAATCCAACTATACTTAGTGATTATAACTGTCTTTTGGTTAGTTCTGAAACCAAGTAAACGATCATTTTATCTCCAAATATTGATAATTTAACCATCTTTTACAAATTCTATAGCTCTTGTTTTATTTCTCTCTCATTTAGTTGTATTTACTATTCCCTCCAGAGCAATGGCAGACAATAGCAGTGAGTAGTGATAAAGGAAATCCCCATCTTGTCCCTGACATTAATAGGAATGCCTCTACTTCCCTATGAGGTGATAATGACCTTTAGGTGAGATTCATATGTTTTATCATGGTAAAGAAGTAATCATATATTTGTTTTTTTTATAGGATTTGATCAAGAACAGGTGCTGAATTTCATCAAATGCCTTTCAGCATGTACAGATGATGGCCTAAGTAACACAGTGACTTATATTGAAATTTGCTAATAATGAAACAACCTTCAGTTCTGCAAACAAACTCCACTTGGTCATAATATATTTTCCTCCAATGTAGTTCTGAATCCTGTGTAATATTTAGTTATTCCTTTTCTATCAATAAATGGAATTGGGGGAGAAACCAAGATGGCGGCATAGGTAAACACCTGAAATTGCTGCCTTGCACAACCACTTCAAAAATACAACTAAGAGACAAAACGGACATCATCCAGAACCACAGGAAGGCTGGCTGAGTGGAAATTCTACAACTAGAAGGAAAGAGAAAAGCATACTGAGACTCAGAGGAGGTGCGGAAGTGCAGAGGTATGGAGGCACATGGCAAGGGCTGGCAACTGAGGATGCGGCTGTCTTTTTGAATCGGGAGGGAGTCACAAGCCCCGGACTGCTCTAAACTCCAGTTTTGGGTGAGTCTCTGGGGACCTAGACTCATATGGGGAGAAACTGGACTGTCTGGCAGCGGGCAGAACTCGGAACTCGAGGGCGGCTTTCTCTCAAAGGTGCTTGCAGCGATTACTGGGACACTGAGTCTCGAGGCCCCTTAGGGTAAGGCTGAGGATCAGCCATGGCTGATAGCTCCGCCCTGTTGATTCTCTGAGACCCCGCCCCACCCAAGCTGCTCAGAGGCTTTTGAATGTGAAAGGCCTGGCCCTTTGCAACCTGAAAATTACCTAACAAACTGCAGCTGGGCCACAGACCCAGAACTTCCAAGAGAAGGCCCAAGGCCCCACAGCAGCTTGCATTGCTTCACAGCTGGGACTCATCAGGGCACCTCCAAACTCCAGAAAAGGAAGGGGAATGTGCAGTCCTTTTCATAGCTCCTACTGGGTAACCTCCAAGAGCCTGTGTACCCAGTGGTCAGAGGGGGCCATCCGGATTACAACTCCTCAGACCCATAAGGGACACACCCAGAGGGCAGACTCAGTGAGCACCAAAGACCCACTGAAGCAAGTAT